AACTAAGAAGCATGTGTGTGCGCTGCGGGGAGGAGGCAGGGTTCAGGATGAAGGCGCGGCCTGTGCAAAGTGGAGCACTTACCACGCAGTGACTGTGCACCGGACAGACACCCCTCTCTGATGTGCACCCCGCCACACCCTCTGCAGATTCTCTCTCTCCCTTTGATTCTCTCACACAACCATTACTGTGCACTGGCTATGCAGCAGTGGCTCTGTCCGGTGCTGGGCAAAACAACGGTTAGGGAAGGTATATGGCCTTCATCCTTGCCCTCCTGAAACCTAACCTTACAGAGTGCGGCAGAGGCTGAGATCATTAAGGGCTCACAAGAAGAACTGAGAAAGGCTGTGATACATCAGTTCTGTGGCCTGACTCGGCTAGGCCATGGCGCCCAGTCGGCTGATCCAGCTCTAGCCTAGGTGTGGCTGTGAAGGCATTTAATCGATGTGGTTGCCATCTATAATCAGTTGACTTTAAGGAGACGATCCGCCAAAATGTGGGTGGGCCTCATCTAATCAGTTGAAGGCCTTAAGGGCAAAATTCCCAGAGAAGGAATTTTGTCTCAAAATTGCAACAGAGAAATCAAATCCTGCCTGAGTCTACAGCCTCCTGTCCTGCCCTATGGATCTGGAAGCTGCCCGTTCCCAATACATAAGCCAATTCCTGAAAATGAATCTCTTAACACGCCTACACCTATACTCTATGGGGTTTGTTTCCCTAGAGAACCCTGACTGATACAACCGTCTTCAGTGCTACAGAGAAGTGGGCATGGGGTGGGGCTGGCAGGTGTCCTAGGAAGTGGTAATGGCCTGAGGCCTGCACGGCAGAGAAGACAAGAGCCTCCGGGCTGGGGAAGCTCCGGGCAAGTGCAAGAGGTCTGTCGGGGATAGCAGGTGAGTCTGAAGGAACTGAAAGAGAGAGAGGCCAAGCCAAGCAGAGCCCCAGAGAGAAAGATGCAAGATGGAGCTGGCCGGTGGGCTGGGGCCACAGGAAGTCCCGGCAAGGTTGGACCCAGTGAAGTTTCCGGATCAGGCTCAGGGAGGTCAAGGCTTGCCTAAGTCATGCTGCCAGGATGCAGTCAGGGCTGAGAAAATAGCTCCTCCCACAGCAGCACCCCCTCACGGCCCCGCCTGTCCGGGAGTGCTGAATGTGTGCACCCAAGCCTTCTGGGGGTTCTGGCGGGAAGCTGGGCATCTGGGGGTCCCCTCCACCTTTCCCACCTTGCTCTGTACCCAGGGGCTGGCCTTAGTGCCTGCAAATGGGCTCCCACTCTGGCTGGCTTCCTGTGGGTTTGGCCCATGGGAACTCGGTGGGAGACTGGAGAGAAAGGGGACAGAGACTGGGGGCTCCAGCCCCTCCCTGCATACACTGGCCGTGTCTCAGGGTCTTAGCAACATCTCTGATGTCATCCTCTCACCTCCTTAGGCCTGGGGCTGGAAACATCCCACGGTCTCCATCCCCAGGGATGGCCCCATCCTCATGGTTTCTCTGCCCCAGACCACGTCCTCGTAAACCCCCCTTTCACAAGCTGCCCCCTGTGGCCCATGCTGAGGGCACCATCTGCGTCCCGCTGAGTGGCGCAGGTGGCCCCAGGGTTCTGCTTGTTGCAGGCGCCAGCCCTGCACCTCTAGGAACAGCCCTGGCAGCCTCAGAGGATTTGCACGAAGAGCTGGCTTGGGCCAGCTGGATGCCCAGAGCCCTGGCTCCCCTCCCGCCTTGGGTAGCTGATCTTTCTGGAAACTTCCCAGCCCTGCAGCCCAGGAACTCACCAATCAGGAGGTCTTCCACTGAGATGGTCTGGGGCAGCCAGAGAGCCAGAGGCTCCCCCTGGGCTCCCTTCAGGTTCCAGGCTCACCACATTCCAGGTCCCACTAGGGGGCCTTCTAACAGGTCCCGGCAGGTGACAACCACCAGCTGCCTCCAGGGCCCGCCTCCCGCAGGAACCTGCAGCTGATTGTAAGCAAGACACAGGGCCAGACCCATACAGCCCAGAGCTGCTCCCGGTGCTGTCAGCAGCCTGACCCCCAAGCCACTGCGCAGCCCCTCTCTGCCACCCATTCACCTGCCTCTCCCATCCGCCGGCCCTTGGAGTCCTGCTAGACTTCAATATCAAGCTGGTTTTGCTGGCAGACAGAGGCCCACAGGACATCTCTAACCGGCTCGGTGGCCACTGGCAGGGTCTCCTCCTCATCTCGATAATGGTTTGGCAGCCTCAACCGCCTCCCAGTCTTCCCCATGCACAGTCTGCCCAATCGGCAGTGTCAGTATCTGGCACGTTTTTGTGCTGGACTCCTAGCAAGATGCCCAGAGGATCTTTGGGACAGGTACCCTTCCCTCTGCCTTGTGGGGGAGGAGGTCGTTGGGCTCTGAGAGTCTACACAACTTCTTAGGACTAGCCAGGGTGTGAGAGAGGCAGTTCCCGGTCCTATGAGGAAGGTGGTACTATCAGTCCCATATTATAGATGGAAAAGCTGAAGCCCATGGCCTCAGGATACTTTCTCAAGGTCACACGGCTAGGAAGCGCTGGGTGGATTCCCGAGTCTGCTCCTCAAGTACTACTCCGGCTGGCCCCTCACCTGGGCACCGCTCACCCGGCCTCTTACCTCTCACCTGTGAGGACACCTGTACCGCACTGCACACCCCAGGCGGCATGTCGATCTTCACCTTGAGCTAGTGAAGCCAGACTGCGCCAGCTCCAGGATCCAGTGCATGGCAGTTCACACATGGACTGTCTGCTCCTAAGGCACATGCACCCCCAAGGCATGAACCCCAAGGGCCCTGGAGACTCGGAAGTGGCGGGCTGATGACAACAGGAGGAAGAGGGAGGGCTCCATGGAGGAGGTGGTCGTGGAGACTGAGGGAGGTAGAGAGGGTGGGGTAGAGTAGGCAGCTTCCCAAAAGTGCATGGTGGCGGCGGCCGCGGTGATAGGGGGCACCTGGCACAGTTTCGGAAATCAGCGTGCCCTGAGTGGGTAGGGCCAGCTCCTGGAAGTCTTCAGGAATGTGGACTTTGGGATAAAGGCATCGGGGAGCTACCGACGGTTTGTGAGCAGCACACAGTAGTGGCGCAACCGGCCTCAGGAAGCTAGACCGGACGGGGTGGAGTCTGAGACCAGCCCCGTGTCCATCTTGGTGCCTTGGGAAGCCCATCTCCTTCGGGACCTGTTTCCCGACTCCCTCCTGCGCTGACCTGACCATCTGTGGGCCCAGGTCCCCCGCACCCAGGCGGTGCTGACCGCTTGAGAGAGCCCCCTTCTTGGGCTCGACAATGCTCCTCCCCTTACCCTGGTACCTCTTGCTTGCTGGAGGGGAAAACAGATTCCCCACAGCACAAACAGTGAGCGGTTCAGAGCGGGCGGTTTGGAGAAGCGCGTCTGAGAAACGTGATTAAGCAGGATTAGGGTCATATGAGACGCAGTGGATATATCTTCATATTTTGAGCTGCACAAAAGGAATTTAAATCCACAAATCTTCTTATGTGTGTAGCTTGAGCAGTGCTAAATTCAGAGTCTGAAGACACCCTTACAACATGCAAGGCACGTAATGTGGTCAGGACTGCATCTGCGTGGCCAGGCGGACACCTGACCCCACCTCAACCCCCCGGAAAAAAAAGGGGGGCTTCCCCGATTTGAGTGGTGTCTAAGTCATGGCAAAGGAAAGACTATCCAGAACTCTGAGACCCAGACCCCCACCCCAGCCCTGCCTTGAGGGTCTGCCGCTGGTTCTAAAGGGCTCCCGGGTAAGTGACAGGCTGGAGTCCTGGCTGGTGTAGAGTGAAGGTTTAGATAGTTGAGGTAAGTTCCCTCCCAGGCCCCTGACTTCCAAGGAGAGATATTTTTTTAACCATCTACAGGGGCATCCAGCAGGCTCCTGAAGGGGTTGAGGGGGGACGATCTCTGGTGATGTCCAGAAGAGGGATTCCGATTGCAGGATCAGTGCAGTGGCTAATATGGTGGGAGGAGCCCAGCACCCCCCGGGGTTTGGAAATGGGCAGGAGCCCCAGATGGCAAGCACGAGTCTGGCATGAACCATCCCAGACACCAAGGGCTGAAGGGGTGTCATGATGTCCAGTGGGGTCACTGGGATACCGCTGACCCGACCTAGACCCCTGGAGCCCACTCGGGAGGAGAAGAAGGGCAGCTACCATCAGAAAGAGCCACCCGTTCAACTCCCAGCACCCTGCGCCCAAGCCATCTGTGTGGGGCCTTCCTGAGCCCACCCTGGGAAAGGAGGGACATCTTGCCTCGTTCACAAGGGACTTTGGAGCAGCCCACTGCGGGGACCGGGAGTGTGGGTGCCCGATGCAGATGGGCAAGGCTCACATCATGGGCTGGGGAGCTTTCAGAGCAGTTGAAACCAGCCAGCCCTGTGAGGCTCAGGGCAGGAAATACAACAGCACAGGGCAAGCCTGGTCAGCAGGGGCCCAGCAAGTAGGGCGCAGAGGCCAGTGGCACGTGGGGTGAGCGTGTGGGAGGCGTCCCCAGAGCTGGGAGCAGCCAAGGGAACAGGAGGGCTTAGAGCCAGGGATAGAAGGAGATACTAGTCTTGGCATCCCAGAGCTGGTGAGTCCTGGAGAAATCCATGCACAAGCATGTCAAGGGAAGGAGGCATGGGCACCTGTCTCTAATGTCCACAACTGGGTGCCACACCGAGCTGGACGCTTCTCCTAGGGCTCATTCAGTCATCACAACAGCTTTGCAAGGGGATGACACTTCGTCTCGCGTAGCAAAGGCCGAGGGGATGAGCTCAAGGGCACAGAGCGAGGGACGGGCTCCGGATTCAACCCGGAGTCAAAGCCTGTGCTGGGTGCGCACACGCAGCACCTACGGTGCCGCTGATCCCCTGCCGGGTTTGTATTTTAAAATATTTTATTTATTTGAGAGAGACAGAGATAGTGAGAGAGAGCTCGAGCAGGAAGGAAGGGGAGAAGCGGAGGGGGAGAAGGAGGGGGAGAAGCAGGGAGCCCGATGCGGGGCTCGATCCCAGGACCCTGGGATCATGACCTGAGCCGAAGGCAGACGCTTAACCATCTGAGCCACCCAGGTGCCCCTGGTGTTTGTATTTTAAAGCACGTAGGGATGCTGGGGTCTGGGGAACATCCAGGCAGCTCTCTCCCCTCAGCATCACTTCCTGCCTCGTGTCATTAGCCATTATGAAGATGCCTCATCATCTAGCACCTACTGGCCACACGGGCTCAGACAGGTTAGAGGACCCGCTCAGGGTCACGCACCTGGGAAACAGAGGATGGAGGCAGAGACCTCAGGTCTAGATGCTATGTGGGAAAGTGGAGAGTCGATGGGGGTTGCAGCTCCAGAGGCTGATTAGCTGTGTGACCTTGGACAAGCCACTTGACCACACTGAGCCATCCCCTGCCCCTGTGTGCAAAACCAGAACAGTAACAGCACATGCCCTACGAGTTCTGGGAAAGAACATAAGCCAGTGTAGAGCTCTGGGATCTATCTGATCCCTTCTCTATATTAATCTTCTTGAGAGCAGGCATTTCCAGTTCACTGACTTCTGCCCAGTGCGGCTCTAAAAGCTGGTCAAAGAGCTCTATTCCTGGTCACTCACTGAATCCGTTAATCTGTCCATTTTACAGATGAGAAAATGGAGGCCCAGGGAGGTTAAGCCAGGATCATACATTGTGTAAGAGTGAAGCTCAAAGGTGATCCAAGCCAAGGATAGCCACAAAATGGAGCTTTTCAAGCTAAGTATCTGCCCTTCAGGTGATGGAGTCTATGACCTCCCCTGAGGGTATGCCCACACCAGCAGGGGTACTGTCCCCACTCAGCCCTACTCTCCCTGACCCCTACAAGGTGCACACAACCGCTACTCACCCTCTATCAATGGAGGAGGCAGGTCGAGCGGGAGAGAGGGAATGAGTGAGCTTCGATGACCCCCAGGACAGTGAATGCCCTTGAGGCCGGGGTGCCCCTGCCCCAGCAGAGCCGGCTGCCGAGCGGGCATTCAACACTGGGAGTCTTCCGCGCACCCCCACCTGCATCTCTGCTGAGTGCTGGGGTGGGAGACTGCACAGCTTGTCCCTGCCTCCCCATCAAACGCCCCCCCCCCCCACTTGGGGAACACAGCACCTTTATGGCACTTTCTTGTTCTGCCCAATTTGCTCTAAAACAGGTGTCCTTTGATCTCCTACAGTGCAGCGGAGAGAGGTAAGCTTTGGAAAGGCTGCCTGCTATCCTGGGGTCACAGAGACCGAGGCTAGACAGGCCGGCCTTGGTGCGAATCCAGGTGTAGTGGTGCATACCCAGTGCGCGGCAGCAATCGCGATCTGAGTATCAGCACTTCGCTTTTGCCCACTGGGGGACCCCCACGAAGCCTTCCTTGTCTTTGAGCGTCCTGGGCCGACTCAGGGAGCACACGAGCTTGTGTGTGAGGGACGCCGAGATAAGCCTCGCTCCCTCCATATGGACAGCACAGCGTGGGGCAAGGGACCAGATCCTGACACAGGGTGTCCCACAGGCTTCCTTTTGCTCTTTTCTTTGGCCTTTTGGGGTCCTGACCCTTTACACCTTCTCCTTCCCTGCCTTAGTGAGTGACTAACAGCATCCTTTGCCATGGAAGACACTGGTGGGTGAATTTTGCATCGGTGTGCCTGTGTGTGTGCGTGCATGTGTGTATGTGTTGTGCACCAGAGCTACATATCAAACATTGCTATGTTCTGCAAAGAAAAAGAAAAATAAAAAAAACCCAGAGCGATGAACCATCGGGCTGAGCTCCCTTCCTCTTTGCTGTGTTGTGGTTTGTTAGGATTTCAACTCTACTTCTTTAGGACTTCAGCGCAGTTGTTTTGATCTCGGGGTGAGTCACTTCCACTGAGGAAGCTGTGTCAAGATGTGTCAGGATATCTCCATGGACATCTGGTTCCGCTGGCGCTTGGGAGCCCGGTGGCTGGTGGCCGAGATGCTGGGGGCGTGGTGATAAGGACACGTGGAGCAGTGGCTGTGACATAATGGACCTTTGAACTGTAAATACCAAGAACTGTGAGGACTCACTGAGTGTCTGGTCCAGGCGAGGCCCCTCTTTGCTGACCTGAATCGCTCTCCGGAGACCTTGGGACACTTGCTTCCGCCTTGGCCAGGCCATTTCTGGTTGGCAGTGGCGTTAACCCGCTCGGCGGTCTCCGGAGGCAAGGGCACCCGTTCCTGCCTCGGCGAGCCTTCCCCCATGGGCAGGGGCGCCGGCCGTGTACCAGTCCCCGGGGCACTAACCTTTGGCGCAGCCCACCGCTAGCCGCGTGCCCCAGCATCGAGGGACCCAAGCCAGCAGCTTTTACTTGGAAGGACTGACTCCACAGACACACAGCTCGTAGAAAGGTACACCTCAACTAAATTTGGACTTTACTCTGCCTGAAACAACAGTGTAATCAATCATTGCTTTGAAGCATGTTATTTCTTTAATGGCTTATTAAGAGACATCATCCTAAAGACTACTGGCTTGTGAAATATTACTATTATAAATTACCATTCCCGCAGTGAACCCGTGTTAAATTATTGCCAAAGAGCATCTCATTCTCTGAGCATAATTTGCCTCGAGTAAAATATTCTGGCCAACGCAGATAATAAGCACACCGTCTTCAGATTCAACTTATATTTACGAGGCTCACACAGTATGCCTGGCTGCTCATTTTCTCCCTATTTGACAGGTACACATAGAGAGATGGGGGCTTTCCGATAAGCCGTGACCTGGATCCAGCCCCAAGAACCTTCACTCCTTCCTGTTTCTGGAGCTCAGAATGTGCGAGTGTTGACTGGGCTGTCAGCTTCCCCCAAATTTAGAAGGGGTCACTCTGAGCCCTGACTCCAGGCGTGAAAGGTGTGAGATCTCTGCACTCCCCCTCCCCTTCACAACAGCCCTTGTCCACACCCCGAAGCCTCATGGCACCTGCCAGGATCCATGACACACGAACAGGCTAGCTTCTCAGTCAGCAAGAGGGGGATAGGATAAACTCAAAGCTTGGACCATAGCTTTCCAGTCCCTCCACACCCCTCTCTGCACATGCCTCACACTACCCAGACGTCTCTAACAGTTCCCTCCATGCCAAGAATGAAATCCAAGGCTCTGGCCACAGCCTGCAAGATCCTACTAGAGCTGGCCCTTGCCTACTTTCTTACTCCACTCTCCATGCCTTTTCTTTGCTCACTCTATTTACCAGCCCCGTGCCCTCCGCAAGATGACAAGCACACGACGTGGGGACAGGCTATGTGCACTGCCCAGATGCTCCTCCCACAGATAGGAGGCTAGCCATCACTTAACGCAGGATGCTGAGTCTCATGTCAGACTATCCTCGGAGAGACTATCCCTGCACCTTCTGCATCCCTGAATAATGATGTCTATCACGCTCTGCATTTCGCCCACCTGTTTTCCAACATTATATACTTATGAACATCTGAAAAGATTCTCCATGCAACTAGGTTCCTTGAACTCAGTCTCTGTTTTTGTTCCCCACCATGTTCCTAGAACGTCGATCTTATATAATCTTGAATAGTCACCTGAAAGGTAGGTACTATCCCATTTCACAGATGATAAAACTGAGGCTAAAAGACGTTGAGCAATTGCAATTTACCTAATCTCACAATTAGTAGGTGATAGACCCAGGATTCAAATCCAGACATTTTCAGTGCCACCCTATTGTCAATAGATGCTACTCCATGGGTCTCTGGCATTCCCATGTGTCTTACTGGACAGGCTAAGAATGCAAGGCCCCACCAGTCCTTTATCTGGATCATTCTTCAGCATTGCATCTGCAGCAACCGATTGCAAAACATGAGGTAAGGTCTTTCTCTGGGACCAAAAGATGGCTCCCTTACTGTTTGCTACAAAATGCTGAATTTTACAATCAGGAAAATGCCCTTGCTGATGGAGCCACTTTTCTGGCTCATGCATCCCCCAGCTGGTGAGCTCCGTGTCTCAAGTGCCACCTGCCCAGGAACACTTCCCTGGTTCCCTCCCCTTCCCTTCCCCTCAAATTCATGTGAGATGAGGATGTATTGGAAGGAAGGGAGCAAAAGACAATTTGATTTGATCGAAGAAGGCTAAGCCAATGAATTTGGGGCAGACACCATGGAAGACAGATTAACACAGAGAGGAGAAAGTTTTGAAGGTTTACATTTTTGTGACCTTGAGAGCAGCTCAGCCATGAACTCTCTGGAGTTCGACCAAACGAAGAAGCTGGTCAGGTTAAGCCTAACCTGCCACTGAGAGCACAGACCGTGTCTCATTTGGTTCAAGGTCTCTGGTACTGTATCCACATGGGGGCCTGCTTAATGGGTAGATGGACAGAGGGATGAGCCAACGATGTTGACTCGCAATAGGCTTGCTGGTCGACCCACAGATTACCTGCTCCTTACCAGCAGGAAGGGCTGGGCTGTCTTATGCTTTTTTGAGAATTCCTTTTGGGAAACTTTCAAGGGGTTCACAGGCCAGTAACCAGGCAGAACTGCTTTCTAATTATTCTTTTTCCGGCTGAATGAGATTCAGTTAATGGAACACTTAATAAGTCCTTCTGGGCCCCAAGGAAAGAGAGACATTTCTCTGCTCCTCGAAATGAATTTCTGGTTTCACAGCCACAGAGCCCAGATCAGGGAGAGGTGAGGACTGCTTGAAGCTCTTAACTGAATGCCTGAGGCAGGATCGCCAAGGTCATGCCGCCGGCATTGGACATCCCTCTGCTGAGAGCCCTGGCCTACCTAATCAAAGGGGAGCTGCTGGAAGGCTCTGTCTCAGTGCCTGGCTGCCTCCTGCCTTGGAGGCAAAGGCTTGCAGCATTTCAGGATCACAGAGGAACATAGGGAGGACCATACCTCTCTGCTTCCTTTTCCAGGTAGGAAACCAGGGCTCAGGGAGGGGACGTGACGTGCCAAGGTTGTACATGAGTCTGTGTTGGCCCCAAGACTAAAATCTGGGGTCCCTAACTCTCCAAATATGTCCCTTCCAGCACACCTGGTCCATGAGCTACTCCAACAGGCGCCAGACAGGTGTCAGTATCCACACCGATGGCAGAAGAAGTGACCCTTGGGCAGGACAAGTCTGTCCGAGACCACAGCCCCACTACTGGCCCCGCCGGGACACAGGTGCGTCTGCCTCTGCCCCTCCCCCAGCCCCACCCCCACCCCAGGTTCTGCTTGCTGGACTTCCCTCTGCCGAGGTCAGTTCGAGGTCAGTGGTACAGCCCCAGCACCATTTCTCGCTCTATTTCTGTAGCTTTGGAATCCAGGCTCCTGCCCTGCTTAGAAAGACAAGCCTGAAGTAGTGGATCAGAGTCCTGGTTCAAACATATGGTTTGAGAAAAAAATACAAAGCAAGGCACTATTGGAACTATGGAACTATTTCAAATGCCACGCAAGGGTTGACGGTACAAAGAGGATTAAGGAACAAGACAAGCAGTTTCCTGTTAGATATACACCTTCCTTCTGCCCCATTTCAGTTCTGTTTGATTTTTCTTGCTACACAGCCACAACTCCCTGCCTCACCCCCGCAGACACATGGAGGGTGGCGGATGGAGGAGACAATAGAGAGTGGTAGCTGTGTTGGCCCCAGGGCCTTTGCACACGCTGTTCCCCCTGCCTAGAACATTCTTACACTAGAATCCACATGGTTTGCTCCCTGGCTATATTCATGGTTCTGCCCAAATGCCCTCCTTGGAGGGGCCTTCCCTGATCAACGTAAAATAGCATCACTGTCACTGTCCACTTGCTCAGCTGCATTTTCCACCACGGACTTAATCACAAAATGACACTTCACTGTATACAGAATTCCCTCTTTGTGTGCCTGTCTCCCTGTACCGGGAGGGCAGGGACGTCACCTGTGGCCCTGCCTGCTGTGTCCCCCATGTAGAGGACAACAGTGGGCTCTCCACAATGTGTACAGGCCAGAGGCAGGATGAAAAGTGCTCAGAGCTCAGAAAGCAGAGGTTCATTTGGGTTTGTGTGCAGTGGGAGGAAGGGGGGGGCGGTCCTTGGTCATTTCTGGGCCTCAGTGTCCTCATACAGGAAATGGGATGGTGACAGTGACGACCTCAAAGCAGTCCTGCCCACGGACGGCCCAGGGCAGCATCCAGCTCCAGGCAGGTGCCCTTTCAACCTGGGACCTTGTCCTGGGGCCTCTTAGTCGCTGACCGAGCAGATCAGCCACCCCCAGGAAGGGAAGGCAGAGCTCAGCCTACAGATTTCCTTTGGCTTTTGCAAAAACAACAAAACCAAAAATACTACAAAACCACACTGTGCATCTGTGCAGTTGCTGAGGGCAGCGGCATACAAGCCTGAGTCCTGCTTCCTGGGGTCGGTCCTCTGTGGCTGAGGCAGGATGTGGGGCACACAGCATGGGGTGGGGACACCTGGCTCTGCTGGGGGGCTCATGGGCTGGGTTCCCAGAGAGCCTGGAGCCTCGAAGTGACTTCCAAAGGGAAAGCACTTGGCCAAAAAATAAATAAATAAAATAAAAAATCTGTTAAAAATTCACACAGTGTGATGTGTTAAGAGCCAGGCCTAGAACCAGCTTTCCAGACTTCAGGAAGAGAACATTTGTTAGCCAGTGGTTTTCAAACTTTCTTTAAACTGGAATCTCCCCCAAGCAGAAACTAGCCACTTGCACAGCGTTTCGGGGTGCGGTGGGGGCGGGAACCCCCAGCCCAGCTGCTGGGTCTCACCACCCAGGACGCTGGTTTGCAAATCAAAGTCACACCCCTTTTACCCCCAGTCCGGAGTGTTCTCTCAGGATTTAGGAGGCCAAAGCAGGCAGTTCATCTGCGGTCATGTTTACTAAATGCGGTTTGTTCGTTCTCAGGTTCTAGGGAACAGGTTCTGGGAAAACGTCTGAAAACAAAAGAGTGGGTTTCCAGTCCAGGATGAGGGCGGGGAAGACGGGCAACCCTAGCGACGGGAGGTAGGGCACGTGAAGCAGCAGGGCCAGGAGAAAACAGGGAGGGTCAGAGCCACCGGGAGGATGCAGAAAAGGCTGAGGGCGAGGGCGAGGCTCCGGCAGGACGCTAACGGTATGTGAGAGAGGAGGGTGCTGGGGGCCCCCGGCCGGACCCCATCTCTGCCACCCGCCTGCCCTCCTTCTCACCACAAAGTCAAGGGTGCCTTCCGAATCACAAAGACACACCCACGGTCGAGATAATCCACCACTACAGTCTGCACATGGCGTGTGAGACATGCTTTATAATCAGCGCAGAATGCATTTCTCCGTGCTGTGTTTGTTGGTGACCTGTTGATGCATTTGAACATAGCCAAAAGGGAACACACTTGGTTAACCAGAACTTTCCAATGATGAGAGGAACCTCCCATTCCCAGAGCACTGCCCAACCGCTTGGCCTAAGCAAGCACTCTGCCTTCGAAACATCCTGTCTGTCTGGAGAGCCTACTGTGTTCTGGGTACCCCAGGAGAAATAGCGAGAGATACAAAAACCGGGTCACAGGTTTCCCCCACATGCGTGGTGGGGGGACAACCATTTCATCACAGTTTAAGGCAGAGAGAGCAAGCAACTGAGAGCACGGGCTCTGGAGTCACAGAGAGCAGGATTCGAATCCCAGCTCTGTCACTTACCCGCTGTGCGACCTCGGGGGAATTCCTTAACCTCTCTGAGACTCCGTTTCTTCATCTGAAAAATAGGGGAAAAAAAATACTCAGACTCACCACAGGGAGAAGGCATGACGATCTCTCCAGAGAGTGCCAGCGACGTGCTCAGCTCACACGCACAGAGTATGCATGAAGTGCTCTTTTGATGGCCAAGCCCCGTCAGGCCCCTGGTGAGGGGAGAGAACAAGTCACCTTCAGTGCGCGGGGTCCGAGTCAGAGAAACAAGTGCAAGGCTCTGTGCTCCAAGCGGAGAAGCGAAAGCCCCATGCTGCCTGATCTCTGAGACCACTTCCTGCCCTAGATGGAGGACCGGAGGGTGGAGTGCGCTCATTCAGCCATCTCTCATGCACCTGGCAGGGTTAGCTGCTGCGCACCTGCCGCTCCCGGCAGTCCCTGAGGCAGTTCCAGCCTCCCGGCAGACCGGGGAGAAAACTAAGGCTCATGCAGAGTGGCCTGGTGGGGCCACAGGAGCGGCGAGCAGCAGAGTGGGGCTGGAAGCCATTCTGCCCCGACGACAGAGGACAGAGGATTTTCAGTTGCACCTGCAACGGGGCTAGTGGTGAGTCCCAGATCACATGGCGGTGGGGGAAGGTCTGATTCTAGAATATTCTAACTGGCAGGAATCAGACAGCTGGGCATTTTGTGAAGGAAGTTACTTGAATCTGAGTAGCAGGGAGGTGTTTTAGCCTTTTTTCCCTAGATGCTGAGTCGGGGGGAGGGCCCTTCCTAAACAGTAATAAGGACGGATGAAAATACCCACTCTGCCCGTGGGATGAATAATAACCCCCAGCCTGCAGCAGCTTCAGCCGCATGCTGTCTTGGCTCTTGTCACCTGTGAGGCATGCAAAATGCTTTCCTTCTGGGAGTGGGGTTGAAGAGAACTTTCCGTAGCGTTCCAATTTTAGTATGTGTGCTGCCAAAGCAAGCAAGAAAAGAACTTTCTGAATAGTCAAGACCACCTGGGCTGCTTTCTCTCCCTCTCACCTGAGCGCACCTGCGCCCATGGACCTGAGCTCGCTGACCTCTGCACATCAATAATAGATTCTCCAGAAGCCCATGGATGTTAATAGTACATAGCAGCCGCCCCAGCCAGCAGGAGGGAGTTGGTGCCCAGGATGGGCTGACCTGCCTCTGACTCTCCATGGACACAACATGAAAGGAGAAATTTTTAAGAACTATAAAACAGTTTAATTAAAAGTAGTTACTTTCCAGAATAAGCAACATGTGTTGCAGACAGCCTCTCTCCCACCGCATGCAGGGGAACATTGAAGGGAACGCAGCGCTGCATAAGTAACACTGGTGAGCCTCACCCATCGAGGCAGTGGCTGGGGGACCACCAGCCTATCACTCCCGGCTGTGCATCCTTCAGTGAGCCACTTACTCCACTGTGCCTCAGTTTCCTCATCTGTAAAGTGGGGAGAAAGATAGTGCCTAGCTCCTGGGTTGCTGAGAAGATTAGTAAGGTCAACATATATGAAGTGTTTCAGGCATGCCTGGCTGGTAGTAAGTGCTCTCTAAGGGCTAAGCTGCCATCATCACCATCATTACCACCACCACCATCGCCATCATCATCATCATCTCCATCACCATCATCACTATCATCATCATCATCGTCCTCACCATCATCATCACCACCACCATCACCATCATCATCTCCATCAACATCATCATCATCATCACCATCATCATCACTATCATCATCACCACCATCATCATCACCATCCTCACCATCATCATCATCTCCATCAGTATCATCATCACCATCATCTCCATCACCATCATCACTATCATCATCATCATCACCGTCCTCACCATCATCACCACCACCACCATCACCATCATCATCTCCATCAACATCATCATCATCACCACCATCATCATCACCATCCTCACCATCATCATCATCACCACCATCACCATCATCATCTCCATCAACATCAATCATTACCATCACCATCACAATCATTACCATCACCATCGTCATCACTATCTCTATCAACAACATCATACCATCACCATAAGCATCACACCACCACCGCTATCATCATACCATCGTCATCACCATCAACTCCATCACCATCACCGTCATTACCATCACCATCATCCCTCACTGTCTCTTGGTAGAGATCATCATCATATTATCACCATAAGCATCACACGACCATCACTAACATCATATCATCAATGTTATTGTATCATCACCATCATCATCATCACCATCACTGTCACCATCACCATCATCATCATCTACTCTGGACCAGATGTGACACATTTTATGGAAAGTGTCATTTTGCTCCCATTTCCCAGATGAGGAAATTGAGCCTTTGAGAATCAAAATGCACTGAATTACTCATCATGCCAATAATTAATTAGCAGTGAGCTGGGAGGAGGCCGAGAACTTGCACATGGTGCCATCCACCCTGACACTGTTAAGCTGAGCTGAGTTGAGCCACATCAGGCAGAGGACTTCAAAAGGCGGGCTGTCCCTATGTCCTTTGATCTTTTTCTCCTTAGCTGGTGGATCCCTCTGCTAAACAAACACCCTCAGACACAGCCCTTCCTAAGCAAAGCCAGATGTGAATTAGGAAGAAGAAACAAACATGGAGTTTGGAGTGTCACCACTGAATCCCAAGAGGTGGTTCCGAGCCTGGTGGTTCTGTTTCTGAGTGGCTACTCAAGATGAATATCCAGATTCATGAGCAAGACCCAGAAACTCTCCTGGACACAAGGCAGTAAGAGTGAGTTCTCCTGATGCCCATCCACACCCAGCACTGTCATGCGGGATCATTATGGTGCTTTATTGGTGGGAGACAGTACCTGTGGGAGGGGGTTTGCAGAAATACTACCACTTTGGAGTTTACAAAAGATTCTTTGTAAAAAGCATCTCTTGGAGTCAATTTTGGTTCTGAACATTGCCCAATTGCCTTGGTGCAGGCATCAAAGCCCCTGAGAAAATGAAATCTGCTGAGATTTTGCTGGCACAACCTTTGGCCTTTTTCTTTAAAAAAAAAAATTCTAGCGTAGTTACCATACAGTGTTATATTAGTTTCAGATGTACAATATAGTGATTCAACAATTTTCTACATTACTTTGTGCAGCATTATTTACAATAGCCAAATTATAGAAGCAGCCCAAGTGTCCATCAATAGAAGAATGGAGAAAGAAGATGTGGTATATATAGACAATGAAATATTCTTTGGCCATAAAAAGAACGAAATCTTGCCATTTGCAAAAGCTTGCCTTGATGTGTTGGATCCTGGTTGGCACAAGACAATGATGTGCCTCAAGTCAGAGCAGGTTAGCAATGCCCAGGGTTCCCCAAGCCTGGGTGGCTCCCAGTACCTGCCTACCGCTTCCCTGTAGGATTCCAAGAAGTATTTTCGGAGCACCTGGTCTGTACCAAGGGACAGGTGCCAAGGACGTAAAGATAAATGGAATGGGGATTCACCACTACAGGCAAATACACAATCAGTATAATGGGGGACAAGCAACAACCAAGCACGAAGAGCAACCTAGGTTCTGTTCAACGTGCTTCCTTGTGAAACTCTACCCCCCCCATGTGATTGTATTTGGAGACAGGGCCCATGGGGAGGTAACTGGGGTTAGATGAGGTCATAAGAGTGGGACCCTAAGCCCACAGACAGGCAGCCTTGTAAGAAAAGGAAGAGACACCAAAGAGCACTCACAGTGCACCCACACAAGAACGGCCAGTGAGGATGCAGTGGGAAGGTAACTGTCTGCTAGCCAGGAAGAGAAGTCTCACAAGACACTGACTTGGACAGCACTTTGATCTTGGACTTCCAGCCTCCAGAACTGGGAGAAAATAAGCTTCTGTTGTTTAAGTCACCCAGTTGCAGAACTTTGGGATGGCAGCCCCAGGAGACTAACACAGGACTGTAATTACCATCCCCATTTTACAGACGAAGAAGCTGAGGCATCAGGAGGAGATGTACCTTCCTGAAGGCCACGCAACTACTAAGTGGTAGAGCCAGGTGGTCAGACGTATGCATCTGGCTGCAGAGCCCAACAGTTGATGGCCAATTGTATTAAGAAATATTTATTTTCCCCCTCCCTGCCCCCCCCCCATCACCGCAAGAAGGCTATACCTCCCCACTCCATTGATGTTGGGTTTGGCCCTGTCTCTTGCTTTGGCCAGTGGGACGTGAAGAGATATGATGTGTACCATCTCAAAGCAGAAGATTTAAATTAGATTATGTGGGCTTTTTTCATGTGGACTTTTCAGCTCTGGCATGATTGTGACATGCCCTAGAAAATGACTACCTTTAGCCTGGGCCTTAAAGATAACTCAAGGCACATTGCTGGCCTGCAGTTGACCCACAGTCTACTTGTAATACGAACAAGAAATAGACATTTGTTGTAAGTCACCGAGATTTGGGGATTGTTTGTTATGCAGCAGAGCGGACACATATAGGGCTCATTCTATAATTTTCCTATCTCCACCCAACCAACCCACATTCCGTTTGTAAGAATGGAGTAGGTGCTCATGAGATCGGACTTCCAGAACAGGCTCTGTCCTTCACCAGCTCCATGGCTTTCACTTCTCTGGGCCTCAGTTTCTTCATCTGCAAAATCGGGGTAATAATAGCACCTGCATCCTGGGGTTCTTGCAAGGATTCTGCAAGAGATGATATGAAGTTCTCAGCACAGTGCCTAACACAGTAAAGGCCCACTATGACCACGGTTGCCACGCGGGACAACTGCGTGTTGCGTTAAAGCTGAAGAACCATGGCTGGGTTCAAATCCAGTGCTCCTTTTTCAGCCCATCTTACAGCTAGTGCTCCCTTGGCCAGCCAGTGTGGAGGTCCATGTTCTACAGGAGGAGGGCCAGAGGCTGGTCCTGCGTAGGGAGGCAGCCCGAAGTAGGATGAGGGGGGAGGAGGGAGGCCCTTGGTTCTTGTGAAGGGGAAGATGGGCTCTCCTAGGCCCAGAGTTGTGGAAGCATGAATTGAAAAGAAGGTACTCTGAGGGGCTGGTTCCTCTTCTCTCAGTCCTGTGCCACTT